TTGAAGCAACGTCGCTGAGGACTGTAGGCTGATCAACTTCTTGAATCGAATTAATTACAGTATCTTGTACAATTTCAGCGGAACTCATAATGCTGGAAACTGAAGAACTGAGTGAATATCCAGTTGAATCTACGAAGGAAAGGTTATTTAAACTTTGATCTGACCCCACGTCAAGATATTGTACAAGAGTTTGTGATGAATCAGAAGGAATGTTGTATTCCAAAATCTGGTAAATATCAGGAAACTTCAGTCTGTCCCGTGGCTCAGTCTTCCAACATCCTGCCATGATGTCATAAATGTAATATGGGCATTCTCCTGGAGGACTTAGAAGAATTCCTTGCAAAACCAGTTTTACAACCTGAAAGAATCGGAACAAAATTTAGATTAGCAATTGTAATCTGTTTGGTAGAAATAATTTATTAGGTTTACCCAATCTGTCAAAAACAGAAGATGACAGACAATGAGTTATATAACAACGACCTTTAACAAAACTATTTTATAAAGAATTTCTTTTCGTCTTCTTTTCTTTTATTGTTAATATCAATATCTTTCTTTATAGAAAATCACGAATTTAGCGGGAAGTATTTTATAGTTTATTGATTTTAAGAAATTCCTTTGGCGATTTGGCGCATATTTGAAGTGATAAATTCAAATAAATTTTGTTTTTTGTTTGTTTGAAGTTAAGCACAAAGATACACAATGGGCTATCTGTGCTCTGCCCACCAGGGGTATCTGAACCCGGTTTCTAGCATTGTAATTCCAACAAATAAAACGACCGTGAACTCCAGAGAATCTTACAAGTTGTTTCATTTGCTCAACGTTTCGGCGTTGCGCCTTCATCAGGAATATGCAATTTTTGTAATGAATTCTATCTCTCAAATTAGTGTGATTAGTAGGACAATAGAAACGCTGTCCGAAGACTTGCTTAAGGCAGTTGAAAGCACAACTAGCTTTTGTAAGTGGACCAATGGTGGTGACCATAACGTGTTGGTAAGCGATTTTTGAAAACATATTGCTGAGCATCTGTGGACTAGAATTTCTCCTAAAACGAGTTATAATGCATTATTTTCGTTGAAATATACATAGAGACATTCTGTGGAAAATGTTAAAAATGGCATACCATTTTAAGAAACAGTAAAACAAATTTCCGCAGAAGAAAAAAATGTCAAACAAAGTGGAATTATTATTTTGTGTATGTATCGAATGCCTACAAGTTCCATATTAATTTAGCTTGTAGCTTTGTATGTATAAAGTTGGGTCCGCACCCGAAGGGAAAAAATAACAACAAAACGTTATGCTTCTACCCATGGTACCTGAACACACTTCCAATATGGCGCACCAAAGCAGGGTCCGCACCAGAAGGGAAAAAAATAACAAAACGTTATGCTTCCATCCTTGGTACCTGAGCACACTTCCAATATGGCGCACCCGGTGTCCCAAAGTGTGGAACACAAAATTCGATGCCAGATTCTGGTTCAGCCGCCCTGAAAATCTACTCTTAGATCCCCTTCATATCTGGGTGACTTTCCTGGGTGTTTTTAAACTCTACACTCTATAAATAAGGACATTTACTGGGCCACCCCAGGTCTCCCTGCCAAGTTTGGTTCTACTAGCTCCAGATATATATACGGGTGCGCCATATTGGAAGTGTGCTCAGGTACCATGGGTGGAAGCATAACGTTTTGTTGTTTTTTTTCCCTTCGGGTGCGGACCCAACTTTGGTGCGCCATATTGGAAGTGTGTTCAGGTACCATGGGTAGAAGCATAACGTTTTGTTGTTATTTTTTCCTTCGGGTGGGGACCCAACTTTGGTGCGCCATATTGGAAGTGTGCTTAGGTACCATGGGTGTAAGCATAACGTTTTGTTTTTTCCTTCGGGTGTGGACCCAGCTTTGGGGTAGCTATAGAAGTAGTTGGAGATAAAAGAGAAGATTGATTGGTACATTGGGCCTCTGTAAATAATGAGGGGTCCTTTGAACCTCTCAGCGGAACGCGGTATTTTATGCTAAGCTTTTAAAAATATCGTATTTTCGGTTTCCTAGTACAGTTTCTAATAGATCGAAATTCAGATTATATATCGAAATTCAGATTATATAATTATACAAACCTCTTCATTGGAATGACCATAATAGGGCTGTTTGCCCAAAGTAAAAATTTCCCACAAAACAACACCGTAAGACCACACATCAGAGTCGAGAGTAAACTTTCCATACATCATGCTTTCTGGCGCCATCCATCGCACGGGCAACATCCGGGACCCACCAATCTGAAATGCAGATATTATCCATGTATAGTATAAAGTATGTGTCAATGTGTCGTTGCATGCATGTAGTTTTAAGTTACATCGTTTTCTCTCGAGTGAATCAGTAAATCTGAAATAAAAAATTAGATTTTGTCAACGTGTGTTGTGCATGAACCATAATATAAGAAAACATTTTGACTAATAACACGAGCAAATGAAGTCTGTCAAAAATTAATTGTTAAAAAGAAAAACTGTTGACTCATCTAAGAACACACTACAGCACCGCAGCGTTTGAACTTAATTAGCTAAAATAGTTTAAGTTACAATCTTTACATCTAACTGCGAAAGCTAAATGTCAACAAACTCGTTATAATGTCTCGGAAAAAAAAAAATTATTACATGAAGTTGCTCTCGAATCACATTTCAGAAACTTCAAACAAATAGGGGTTCAAGCGGTACTTGTTTGTTTGTTTTTGAAATTCGCGCAAAGCTACACGAGGGCTATCTGCGCTAGCCGTCCCTAATTTTGCAGTGTAAGACTAGAGGGAAGGCAGCTAGTCATCACCACCAACCGCCAACTCTTGGGCTACTCTTTTACCAACGAATAGTGGGATTGACCATCACATTATAACGCCCCCCATGGCTGAAAGGGCGAGCATGTTTGGTGGGACAGGAATTCGAACTCGCGACCCTCAGATTGCGAGTCGAGTGCCTAACTCAAGGGGTACTAATGTATTCAGGTATTTATCATCGTAAAAATATTTGTTGGTTTAACGCTAGGCTACACAATGGGCTATCTACGGTCTCTCCACCGAGAGGAATCGAACCCCGGATTTTAGCACTTAAGTCCGTAAACTTACTTCTGACCCACCGAGAGATCAGAAAAGTGGTAAACTATCACCTAATCATATAAATGGGTTAATATTAAATAAATATAGTGGTTAGCATATCCAGACTGGGAAGAGAGATGATCAAATCTTACAATTGTCGACAAGACAATAGAAGCCAAAAGTTGGCGGTGGGTGTTATTGATTAGCTGCCTTCCTTCTAGTATATATATATATATTCAAAATTATGAACAAAAGTTACAAGTTAATAACATTTTGAGAATTTAATGATATAAAGTTTTCAGTTACACAACGACTTATCCGTCACAAGACTAAAGTTTTCAGTTACACAATGACTTATCCGTCACAAGACATAAGTGACGAAACGACATGTTTATAATTTCATGACTTGTTTAAATTCAGCGCAGCAAAAAAAGTAGAGTAATAATCCATTAGTGCATTACGATAAAAATAATTGGTTTTTGTTTATTTGTAATTAAGCACAAAGTTACACAATGTGCTATCTGTGCTCTGCCCACCACGGGTATCGAAACCCGGTTTCTAGCGTTGTAAGTCCGCAAACAAACC